CATTATTATTAACCTATTATTATTATTAGCTGGCACCATATTATATATGGTGACCTCTCTAATATTGTCTTTACTGTTTAGAAACAGAGTCCCTTATAGCATATGGCCCAGAGGAAATCTGTGGTGTCGCTGCTGGCAGTCTCTGTATGCCAACAGCGAAAAAGAATTGTGTTGTACTTGGCTGCCTGCCAGTGAAAATGCAAAAGTCAGAKGATTCATGCTACTTATATACATGGTACCACAATGGMAGTCTGTTTAAGGAAGGAAAGARRTGTTGCCTCATCTATGTTTTCAGCCCAGGTTCATATAAATGCAAGCTAACACTCGGTAGTCGTCAAGAAGTCAGCAGAGAAGTGATGGTTGTTCATAAATTAGTAGACAACATCTCAAGAGCTGGTAAGTTCAAGTTAACGAATAAATTGGTCACAGGTTTATCAAATGTTTCAACAGAAGCCAGTAAATAAAGTAGTTACAGTTACATGTAGTATTTATTGTGAAATATATACCCGAGCAAATATTACATGAAGAATATAATTTCAACACTGGATTTTCTTTCTTTATTTTCGGTCACCAACTAAACTTTTTTTTATAAATGTATGCCTTCAGATCAATACTGCAATGATAGCAGTCTGAGCAAAGTCATCTCATCAAGTACATGTAATGATGCATCAACCACCCCAACAGAAACAGCCACTGCACATCTAGAGTCATACAGCAAWTATGTAGCYATCCTCACTAGTGATGATGAAGACCAAGCTTTTATAGCTGCCATTGAAGAAAGCACAAAAGACAACAATGACAATGAAGCACTAATGGACACTATTAAAGACAGCACAAAGGAGGAAGAAAACACCTCACCCCCATCCCAGGGCCACACAGAAATTATACAGAAATATGTATCAGAAAATATCCAAGCTTGGAATAACACTACTATTGTCATAAGTCGCAAATCAATTCTGCAAACTACAATAAGGGCCACGAACAGAAAGTCCTTTTCTTTCTTCAATCCCTTGACAGTTACTTTTGCTGGCGAGGAAGGTGTTGATGAAGGTGGGCCAAAACGCGAGTTCCTTCGCCTCCTTATGTTAGCTTTGGCAGGTTCACCGGTATTCCAGGGTTCATGGCTGTCCCATGACCTTAGTCTGCTAAATGGAAAGAAGTATGAAGAGCTTGGGAAGCTAACTGCATGGAGTGTGTTGCAGGGAGGGAATGGCCCAAGGTGTTTGTCTGAACAAGGATATAAGTTAATGAGAGGTTTCAAGTACAACAAGACAACAGCCATCGAGGAGGTTTGTCCTGATCTCAAGCCAATACTCAAAACCATTGATGCTGCAACATCAGAGGAAGATTTTGCCAAATGCAAAGGGAAGTATTCTGATACGATTGCGCAATATGGTTATTCAAGAATCTATACATCAAAGATGGTAGACAAGGAAGAAATTATTGACTGTTTACTCAGACAGTACTATGTTTATGGTGTCCAGTCAGAATTTCTACAGTTGATTGAAGGAATGAATAGCATTGGTAAATTTGGGGACATYCTGATGGCAMATGASTCAGTGTTTAATGCTGTTCTTGGTAATAAGAAGGAGAAGCTTACTGCCTCTAAGTTCAAGTGTCTTTACACAGTAGAGAATGCAGAGAAAGGCTCAAACACAAGAAGCATGGAAGACAGTACAATGTACTGTTTTGAGCTATTTCTGCTAGACCTTGAGGAGGGATTGGCTGATGGAGTGGGYCTTGAAGATTTGCTAGTATTCATCACCGGAGCAGAATCACCTCCATTGCTAGGCTTTGATTGTCCCATAACAATTCAGTTTTATAACTCTGTTGGCAAAGAAAAAAGATACCCATCCTCATCTACCTGCTCCCTCACACTCTATCTGCCAAGAGGTGTGGAGGAGCCTGATGATTTCAAGAAGCTGATGAGAGACTCCATCCTTGAGTCCCATGGGTTTGGAAAAGGCTGAAAGACTTGTTTTGCATATGTGCATAAGTACTAGTCTTCATTTTACAACATGTAAAGGTGTTTCAGTTTTTTAAATACACTTGTTGATGGTTACATTTCTGCAGTACTGTTTCAGGTTAAACATAGTGCTGTATTTAGTATGTATTCACTTACTGTTTTTTAAACACTCTTTGTTATATTACATTTATAGCTTATTAATTGTACAAAACTAATAGTACATGTATGTTTGTTGTTTGAAAAATCAAGTAAGTGTAAGGAAGGGCAATCCATTTAAACCAGAAACCGTGTAAAAACTATTTTAAATGAAATACTTTTGATACCTCATTTGGTAATTCACAGAAAGGTTTCAGTTAGTAGTGCAAGGAACAATGCCCAGTGGAAACTTGAAATGTGCAACTGGTTCAAAGTGCACTTTTGATTATTTGTGTTAACTGTTTTTTACATTACTTGAATTCACCCTTGATATTTGTGATTAAAACCATAGTTCAGAGACCACTTTCTGTCATAGATCTTTACAATGAAATGTTATTGCTAGCTATTTGTGGGTTCTGATGGGTTTGTCAACCATATTTCACTTGGCTGCCTTTCGCTTTATTGAAAAGGTAAACATTGTTAAAAAATAGTAACAACAGTCTCTTGGTTGATGATGTACCTGATAGTTATAGTTACAGCAAAAAMTCTGCACATTTCTGATAGAAATTAGAACATTGATATAAAATTAGACAGTATAATCAACAWGGACCCTTTTATACAAACTCCTSGTTCAAGTTATAAACTTGTTCATGTYATGTGTAGGAATACATTGCAGATAACCTTTGGCATTCAACACCAAAAACAACTGTTATTGAKCTCAAAATGCTGTAGTGATTTAAATGAACACTGGTTACGTTAATAATGAATGTCAGTTATAAAACTGTGTTATTGTTATCAAAAATAAGAAACAGTTGACCCTTTTAATTTATGGTTGCTTGTGTKTTCATTGTTTTAACCATCAAGTGTTGCCCTCTGTATCAGATTTCATAAAATATCTCATAAAAAATCAAGATGGTAGATTTTTATAAAAGAAACAAACATTTTTTTAGAGAACATGATTCATGACAAAGGCAGCTGTATTCAGATATATATCAATCCCTTTGTTAAGACTTGGTTGCTTTGGGTTGATAGACTGTCTTAGTTCATCGTAAGCTGCTTCACTCAGCGGGCATTCAGTAGAAGGTACTGTGACACTGTATTCATTTAAATCTGATACAATACTGTCTAGGTCAATTCTGTAGCTTTCTTGTTCCATCTATTATTAAATTATAAACCACTCATTAAAGAATAGGGAGCAATTTTATCACATAAATTTTATGTAGTGTTATCATTTGTTTACTTCAAGAAAATGTATGTTTTTATAGTAGAAACTATGATACTGTAGTTCATGTTTGATCCACAAGTTGCACATGCATAATGGCCWCATTGGAAATATTTGTACTAACCTGATCATTTGGATTATGCCAGATCTCATTTGCAATTGTCCCATCATCCTGTGCAATACTAAACAAACCCTTTATCCAATGTTGGTTTGGAGTTAAATTCCCAGTGCCTTCTATGGGGTGATTATCCCATCCCTTGACAAACTGCTCCAAGCATTCATTGATTCTAGGTGTGAAGACATAATGCAGACAAAACATATGAATATCATTGTCAATGTCTAGAAAACCCTCATTTTCCAAAAACTMAAACAAACAAATGAATGTGTAGACACAGCAAACATAGACGTCTTCCCAGAGCCTTTCGATGCGCTGATTATGCACACTTTTTCCGGTCATGAATGACCCTCTGTCTGGTCCCCTTTCTGGATGGGTGTACATAAATCGAGCTACAGCAACATTTTCCCCACCCTGATCTGCTCTCACTCTAGAAGGCAACCCATATTTGGCAACAGATTCCATGAAAATATCCATCACTGTTTGAGCCTCATTATTTGTACTGCACTTGAGGTACATTATCTTCCTGGAGTAACCATCRATACCRCCATGTATGACAAATCTCCACCTATGATGACAGAMAGTAAGATGTTTAACATTGTTGGATAGCATATTAGAGTGAGGTCAATGTACCCATGAAATAGATATTTGACTAATAAAAGTTAATACATGTTAATACACACTAATAGTTTTTAATAGTTTTAAATCACTTTACACTTATTTTTCCCAGTATGGAGAGACTATAGGTTTTGTTTGTTTCTTTATTTTCAATGTAACGGTAAATAGAAAGTGCCATTTATTTCATTGTACACATTCCTTTTATAAAATGAAACTACTACTATCTAATCAGTTAATAATACACGTTAATAAAAATAAATAACTTGTATGAAATAATACTAAACAATTTTATTTCACGGGTACATTGACCTCACTCTAAACAAATTCATGCAGATTTTATTTTTTAATCGAGATAAGAGCAAATGTCATYGAAATGCGATAAGAACAAAAAAAGTACACACCAAGAGGCACTCAATGATCAGTGCAACTACTGTACTACTGTTGTTCTTATCACATTTGAAAATTTTATTTATCTTAATTGGCCAGGTRATGAGGCCCTCCCTCGGCACTCCCAGGCAATACTTTTGACCAAGAAAGGAGAAGAACCAGTGGTGACAGACTGGTGTCTTAACAAAATATAAATGCACAGCCTTTACTTACATATAATATTTAACAGAGCCCATAGGTGATTTGAGCAATAAAAGTACATAATGCACCAGTYGACGTAAACCCCTGCCCTACCCAACCCGCGCCTGACMGGGGGATTGAAATTTGGCCTCTGTGAAAGGAAGAAAATGCTCTTACCCCCAAGGACACATAGCTTTTCCAAATGCACCTTRACCCCTGCCCCCAGGGTTTACATTRACTGGTGCATAACATTATAATAAAGTGATGATATACTGTACCTTATCATTTTATGATGACMGTCTATGTGCCAGAGTGCGAGAGGACACTTAACCTTATAAACTCTCCTGGAAATCGGTGTTAACTGTAGAGCTCGTAGCAACACACCTTCAGGATCAGATCTTCGCATCGACTCTCTCACACGAAACTGCTGTACATTTATACCTCTGGCTCTCAGTAAACCAGTCATTCTTCTGTAGCCACAATTAGGAAAKTCTGATACTAAGTGTTGTGTTACTTGATCTAATTCTGCACTGCTAATGGAGGAGTAGGTTTGAGATACTGACAAGCCATAATCTTGTAGTCTTCTCTTTACTGTGCTCTTGCTCACTCCAATCATTTCAGATATTTGGGGCACTGAAAAGTTATATTCTAAAAACAGTTCAAGTTGCTCTTTTGGGATATCGAAACTTGGCCTTCCACGATAGCCAGAAAAAACTTTGTCGGCACTGTATCCTAAGTGGATGTCTCTATCTAGTTGTAACATGATGTTCTTCACTTCTTGGAGCTTAACGACAATAACATATATTGTATCATTATTTTCTGGTCTTATGTAACAATACCTTTCTAAAACACCTAAAAACCAATCTAATCGGAATTTTATAATGTCAAACTGGTCMTTTCTGTAGCTTTGGCTTTCCAACAGCGAGATTATGTCCAGCAAAAAACGCTTTCCGTAAACTTTGAGTGCCTCCATTTTTAATTCAAAATCGCAAGGGCTTGGGAACTAGTTTTGTACGGGAGACYGCTGACCAGCGCATATGTAACATAGCCCGTTGAAGTGTCATAGCCCATAGAACAGGCAACATAGCCCGTTGAAGTGACAAYATAGCCCGATGAGGTAACAACCTAACCCGTTGAAGTGACAACATAGCCCATTGAGGTGACAACATTGCCCGATGAAGTGACAAGTTAGCCCG